CCTTGAGGCCAAAACAAAGAAAAAAGATTGTTCCATTTGTGAAAGTGGTGTCAAGAATATCATATCATCTCTTTCATATATCACACATGGGTCACACTGTTAAAGGATAAACTGTTATGTGACCTCTTAGGTAATAACCACCATACCATAAAGTAAAAGTGTGATACAGGCATTAAAATGTGACAGGAATATAAAATGTTTCAGATATCGGTCCATATGAGATTTAGAGAATTAAACTGATTTCAGTTACCTTGTTTCATATTGTAAAGCATCTAGAATAACTGAACTGGAGCAAATAGCCAGATAAAATTTTTTGAACAGTTATCCAGTAGTTTTAATAATTTCTGTCACAAATTCTAAAAAGAATTACTAGTTTACATTTTGGATTCCTGACTAATACGAAGAAATGCTTTGCCAACAGAGCCTTTGCTTATTGAGGTGAACAAATGTGGGCCCTGATGGAGGAGAGACGAAGATTATAGAAAGCTTTGGATATATATTTGACAAAGAAACTAAAATAGAATAGAATAGAATGCTTTGTTCTATCACAATCTATATGAAAATAGCTTGTGTGCAAGCTCAAATAAATAGCACAAAAAAGAATAATAAATTAAAACTTGCTGAACATATTTCTTCATAAGATTCTTGATGGAAAAGGGAGAACATCAAAGGTAAATGCTATTTTTAAGGCATTTAATTCAGCTAAGGAAAGTATGGAGAATTTCTGAAATTCAAGTATTATTTTCATATTCTAGGATACTACAGGAAAAAAAAATTCTTTTCCATCCTATCCAATCTTCCTGGAAGAAATTCCAGCAGAAGCCTGTAAGGTAAATGGAGTGTGGAAAACCAAATCACAAATTGCAGGCTTGGGAAAGAATAACACGGCTTAGAAAATGAAAGTCGATCAAGATTGAAAACATTTCACCTGCTTTCATTTAAATCTTCAATCGTTTTTCCTGCTGGTTTAGGAAACAGAATACAACATAATGGGGTAGTAGGGAGTATGAATTCTAAATATTTTGAAATGGTCACATTGACATGCTCGATGCAATTTTCTGTGACTAAAAGAAAACTAGGCATTTGGGTAATCTCCCAGTTAAAACATGGTTCACGAAACTTAAAGCAGTTACTTTTGCCCATGTGTTTTATCCCCTTATTATGTAAGATTTACTTTAATCAATTAAGGCAGAAGCTTAAAAAAACTATCACAGAAGTTAAAGACAGAAAATGAACTGAAATATTACTAGACTAGTCCCCTGCTTTCAATTCAATGTGTACCTACCACTTTACAGAGAGCTAAGCATTTACTACAATAAGAACCTGAAAAAAAAAGTTACTTGTTACTTTCACTTCTCATCCAATCCCTGACAAAATACTCCATGCTCATAAATGCTTTTCCGAGGTCTCCAAGCTAAATCTTTCATGTAAATTCCAAACTGCCTGATAAACAGCCTGTGACAAGTCAAGTAATTCTGACAAGTCAACACAACTGAAGGAGAGAGTCACACTACTTTAAATTTAAGTTCAAAAGAGTTATTAATTAAAGATATCCAGAGTTTCTAAAAGGAACAATTAGCTCCCTACTACCAATTTTTTGAAATCATTATACATAGAGGTGTGATATAAAATTTAAATGCTTAAAACCTGAGAAATTTTGATATGTCAATTTTGTAGTCACTAAAACTATTGGATTTATGCCCTACTGATACATAAAATACCAGTAAAAAATCATTAGATTTTCAAAAAGATGTTTCCAATATTTCAGCTAGACACGTGATTACCACCAATGAACATATATACTAGAGAATAGCTCCTGTACATTTAATTCTCATACCAATCTTACGAGGTGTAAGAATTTCCATTTTTAAAAATTACCATTATCATCCCCATTTTATACAGATAAGAAACATGGTAGTGCAAATACTTGTACCCAGGCTTTCAAATTCAAAGACTTCTGCTCTTTACCTGTACGAAGGCCTACAGGTGATTTTTCATAGGAACGATGGGCTGAATTGTACAATCTATACTCTGTTACTGGACATGGTTACCTATTTATGACAAAGCTAATCTGAAGTAGGTGTTAGTCTGAGACTATAGAGAATGGCCTGAGAACCCAGGCAAGTAATAGGATTGGAAATTCCCAAACTACTTTTGTTTAAATGTTGGAAATATTAAATCTATAATAAGATACACTATGATTTTGAGCACTGAAAATCACTAGGGAACTACCACTATGGTATTAACTCTTTCTCTGTCTCTGCATATGCCTCTGCCTATGATGTGCTGCCATCCATACCAGTGGCCCTTATTAGGGCAGTGATTCTTAGGGTTAAGAAATACCCTCCTTTCCATCAAGGGACCCACCATAAGGGGTAGAAGTTCACGTGAAACTTCCCTGAGTGACCTTGAGAGATTTTTCCCCCTCCCTCTGGGAGTTATGTTTCCTCCATCTCCAACATTTAAAATCCTCATTATATAGCAAAATAATAAATCACAACAGTTACTGGGTGATTTATCGGAGCACGGCACTATTCTATGGACTCAATCAATCTTCACAACCAATTTATAAACTATATTAAGATTCCTATTTTATACATGAAGAAAGTAAGGCTCAGATAATTGAAGGAACTTACCCAAGGTTACACATCTAAAAAGTGATAGAGCCTTTCTTTGAACCTAGAAAATCTGATTCCAAAGACAGCACACTTAATAACCACATTATATTGCCTCTCATTTGTTGGCTGGACTAATTATAAGAAAGTCATTGAATCAAATGTGGAAACACTCTTCAAAATGATATCACAGTGACTCAACCAAAGTCTCATGGAGGAAAATTATTTCATAAATATAGGAACAATCTAAAATGGATCTTAGTTTATAAAACTGAAGTTTGGGCCTTAGGTACTCTCTCTTTCTTTCTCTTTCTCTCTTTTGCTGTTTTCCGTAATTTAAACCTTGCTCTAAATAACTGTATTAACTAATCTGAATTGATCCCAAGTGCCAAAGTGCCACTGTTGTATAAATCATTTACTTCTACAGCATCCTTTTTTAAAAGAATTTAATTAAATAACCTGTTAATAAGACATATCACTTATTTGATTGTTCTAAAAAATTTTAAAGGTGAAATATCATACAAATGAAAAAAATATGACTAAATTTAATGACACAGATGAACCTCATTATTATAATTTAGCAAAAGAGGCCAGATATAAAGAATACATATGTATGATTCAATTTATATAAAGTGCAAAAATAGGCAAACTGGTGCTAGCATTTAGGACAATGGTTACCCTTGGAATGGGGCATAAGGGTGTTTCTGTCTCTGGCACTATTCTGTTTCTTGATCTGGCTGATGGTTACATAAATGTTTCGTTTAGAGAAATTCACTGAGTTTTATACCTATATTTTGTGTACTTTCACCCTATGTATGTTAAATTTGAATAAAAAATTACATTAAAAGGGAATATTTCATCCCAATCTGTCATTTTGCTACTTGTAATTTGACACTACTTTCTCTCTTCCAAAAGATACAATTAATTTGTTTCATAAAGAAAGCAAACAAGAGGCCCCTCGGTGGCTCAGTGGGTTAAACCTCTGCCTTCTGCTCAGGTCATGATCTCAGGGTCATGAGCTCGGACCTGAACTGGGCTTCATCCTCAGCGGGGAGTCTGCTTGAGATTCTCTCTCTCTCCCTCTACCTCTGCCCCTCCCTCACTTGTGCTCTCTCTCTCTTTCTTTTTCTCTCTCAAATAAATAAATAAATAAATAACATCTTTAAAAAAAAAGCAAACAATATTTCTACATAACATTGTAAAGTTACTCTTTTCCTAAATATTTTAAAAGTCATATTTATTGAGCTATAAATTATAGCCAGTAAAATTCATCCTTTTTAATGTACTGAACCATGATATTTGTGTACCCATCACCACTGTCAAGATATAGAATAATTCCATCATCCCCCCAAATTACCTCATGTCCGTTGCCAGGCATACCTGGTAACATTGCTGCTGGCGACACTGACCGATTCCCTGTCCCTATAGTTTTGGCTTTTCCAGAATGCATACAAATGGAATCATATGGTATGTATTCTTTTAAGTCTAGTTTCTTTCACTTAGCATAATGCATTTGAGATCCATCCACGTTTTGCATATGTCATTAGTTTCTTCCTTTCTATTGCAGAGTAGCATTACAATGTATGGATATATCACAACTGAAGAGCATTTGAGTAGTTTCCAGGTTGGTGATTTTGCATAAAGCCACTACTCATGCACAGATTTTTGTATGAATCTGAGTGATATATATATATATATATTTTAATTCCAACTTGTACTTTTACCTGCACAAAGTATTTTCTATAGTGCCTTTAGTCTATGGTAATTCTGATGCCTAGAGAATACACCAACCAGCTCAAAATAATATAAAATCAGAAAATGAATCCAATTAAACAAGAAACATCTTATAAAAATAGATTAACTTTTGCAAATTCCTCTCTTAAAATATTTCTTTTTGTAATAATCTACAAAATTAATAAAAATATTCTATTAAAGTTCTAGATTAATAAATCAAAATCCTTAAATTGTACAAAGCTAAAATTCAATGACACTACCAATTTGGATTCTAAAATTATAATGAATAGAGAAAAAAGAGATAAGGAATGTGGCTTGAAAAGTAGTCTTATATGCCTGTTTCATAACTCCCTGAATTTAACATAGTATAAGTTTCACCTAACTGGTTAGTATTCTTTATCCATGATAATTTGGAAAGGATTTGAGTGACAAAATGGAAACATGGTAGATGTTACCTAGCATGTTGTGGTAAAGTGGAATGGCCCGTCCAAGGATAATAAATGCAGTCATGACTAGTGGGACCGCTACACCTGCAGGCAATTACAGAACAGAAAGCATCATTCTCCATTCACAGTGGCATGCACACACATGCACCAGTGCTCACACAAGGAGCCTTGGAGGAAGAACATGGGAAGCAAGCACACCAAGTACCTATCCATCAGGCCGATGCAGTCTTCAATACTTGAGCCTATGCACCTGCAGAAGATCCAAATTTAAAAAATACAAGGAAAGAAAAAATTAGTCATTTTTTAAAAAAAGAATCAGTAAGATAAACACAATTGTTTCAAATTCTTAATAATAGTTTTTAGACAATTTCAGGACACTGTGAATTTAAGCCAGTGAGATTATTGCTTGATGGATACAGAGAAGTAAGTTGCAAATTCCACCCTAGTGGCATGCAAAGAAACATGTTCACAGTACAGGAAATTGTGGATAACTTCCAAACCCATATAACTCACTTTCTAATGCTTTCAATTCATTTGCATCATTCATGAGTATATGTCTTGCTGAATAACTTGATATTTCAAAGGCTATAATTGGTTTCATGTATACAGTTTCTTCTAAAAGGACTTAAACTTAAGTAAAAACTAAAATCAATAAAAAAGGAAACATGAGCTATTCAATATAATATAATAACCTGATGTTAATACTCATTAAAGATTGATTATGGCAGAAAATGAGTTAACATGTTTTAATGCTATTCTTATGGATACTTTACATAATCACATTATTCCATTCCTTGGTTGTGACTGTTTTTAAAGCACACTTATCTGTAAACATGAATTCATTTAAAAAGCAAATTAACTGGTTTCACCATAATGCAGTTTATCTTGACACTCTCTTTTAAAAGAGCAGTGCCATAACAGGCAAACAGAAATAGGTTTTTAAACTGCCATCATATTTAACTGAAACAATAACAAATAAATACTCTCCAAAGAAATGAATACACTAAGAACCAGGTAAGTAAAGAATTCACTGAGATCAATATTTAAGTGGAATCATATAAGTACACAAAATCCTGGCGTACAGTTCCTAGAATTGCATTTTGAAGTATTAGGGAAATATTGCTTCTCCCATCTTCCAATGTACTTGAATTGTATTTCTTTCCCTTCTCTCTCATCACAAACATATAGCTCCAGTGCATTATCAAGATTCCCTCTACAGCTATGATTTATAGAACTGTCTAATTCTGCTGATCACATTTTTCCCCCAAACTCTAATTTCTAAAACTGAAAAAGCAGCTGAAGTCAAAAATCACCATATAATGAAGTAATAAGGTGCTCGTGTATAAGGCCAGACTGCCCATTATATCTTTAGATAACTCTCAACATTGGTGAACTAATGTAACTATGTATAATAATAATTAAGTCACTGTTTCCTTGCTTCACCAGTGTCTGCTATAATATTACTACTAGGTAGAAAGATGTTTTCTTTTTGAGGATTGGTTTTGAACAGGCCAGAAAAAATTTAATATACAGAAACATGGAGAATACATCATGAAAAAAGTCTTTTAAAAAAAGCAAATAAGAAATAAAAATAAAAAATATATAGCACAGAGCATTGAATTGGTATTATAATCCATAACCAAAACCATTTCTTAAAATGGAAAAAGTAACTACTAAAAATGTTTCCAAATTGTCTTATATTGTTTTTTTATTTTATTCTGAAGAACTTATTTTTCCTAGGTTCTGATTATATCTTCTTCAAAATGCTTTTTTATACAGTATTGCCATTTTGTAAAATTAATAGTCTACTTCTTATTTCCAAGTAGAAGTAAACCAAAAAGCTATGATTAGTTTGCAATCTGTGCCTTTATAATCACCTTTGAAAGATAAAAAAATATTTAAAAGTGAAATTCAACTTGAGGGGAAAGTATGAATGATGAAAGATCTTTATTTATCCATTTAAAAAAATTGTTTGCATGCCTACTAAGTGTTGCTACTCCTCTAGGAGCTGGAGGGAAAAAAAAGATGAATTAGACACTTCTTCTACTCTTAATGAGCTCACAATTTAATGAAGGAGACAGATGCATAACCAGATGTATATTGTATAATGTGACAAATATAATAAGAGACATGAAAGAGTGGCTTAAGGGAGCATAGCAGAGGGATGCTTGGCTTCAAAAAATCATGGTAATCCTCACGGAGAAGACAGGAAGCTGAAGTTCAGGGTGCTGAGATCCATGGTTGGAGTAGCAGTGACATCTAAGGCGTAAGGAACAACAGAGATAAAAGCACAGACCTGAGGACATGTAGAGCGCACGAAATTCTGAATAGTCAGGGAGCACAACATGAGGTGACAGGGAGAGGGAAAAGAAGCGAGATCATGAGACAGGAGTCAGAATTTGAAAGCTATTTGCTTGGAAGCAAATTTAATGGAGAACCACTGCAGGTTTTAAAGAAGTAATGGCTTTGCTACATTTGTGTTTTCCATGGACCTCTGCCCTGTGAAGGTTAGTCAGGTGGGATCCAGAGAGATTCCTCTGGCCCAGAGACTGTTTTAGTCTGTATAAGAGATGAAAAAAGGATTAAACTTCGGAAATGGCAACTAGGATAGAGGCAGGGGCCAGACTGAAGAAATAGCTTGAAAGGTATGGAGGGTAAAAGAGAAGCTGACGGCTGATTTGATGACAGAAGGGTCAGAGGAATTAAACATGTCAAATGTCCATCTATGAGAATAGTAGTACCATCAGTGAGAGAATGCAAGAGGAGGGACACCTTTCCTTTTGTGTGTGTTGGAGGAGGAGGGGTTGATAATTTCAGTTTTATTTATCTAGTGTGGTTGTCCTACATTTGGGTAAGAAATGTTCCTTGCCAGCAGGAAAGGGGGGGGGGTCTGTGGTGGTGGGGCATGAAGATATCAGAATGATAATCAATTTTGAAATAGCGTACGGGAAAAGTTGAAATCATGAGTGGATAAGATAGCTGAAGAAGGATCTATAAAGCGAGATAAGCAGAGCCTGAGACTGAAATCCATGGAACTCCAATAACCAGTAAGTGACCTAAGCTAAGCTCCTATGCCAGAAGCATGAGAAAGTGTAATGGAGTAAAATCGGGTAATTGCAGCATCGTGGGGGCCAAATCAGGAGAGACCTTCAGGAAATGGGATAATTGTCAATGTCAAATGCAAAGAGAGGTCTCATCAAATAGGAACTACTGAGAGCATTTTAGTTGTCATTGTTGAGGTCACCAGAATTTTGGGTGCTGTGAGTTGAGAAGCAAATTGGACATACAAGAATAGAGGCAAGGGAATTGGGAGGTGAGTACTGAGGGGGCAGGATGTAGGGGGCAGGATGTAGGGAAAGTTTGTTGAGTGCATTGTGTAGGATATTTGAGATTTAAACTTATTTACAAGCTGAAGATGAAAGAAAAAATGGATAACAAAGAATAAGGGTATGACTGAAGTAGCCCCATCTTTTCTAAATACAAGTCGCTGTGTATTTAAAGATGTGTACCCTATTTCAACCTTTTGGACTTTATTTATAGCTTTATTAAATAGCACTTGCAATTTATATTGATTCAGCAAGATCACAGAATAATGGAAAAATTAAACTTTTAAAGAGTCAAAATCCCAAATATGAGATCAAAAAAGGATAAGGAATAATGCAACTCTCTACAAAATTAATGGTAAAAAGTAAAAGCTTTACAGAATATCAGAAACTATAACGTGTCAATAAAAACATCTAGAATTCTGAACATCAAGATGTGTTGAACATTTGCCACTACTTATTGATTTATAAGCATTTTGATGTACCCATATATCTAACATAGTTGAGATATTTTAACAAAATCTCCTTTAAATTGTGAAATGGAGGAATATTTTAAAATTTCAATTAAAAGAGTATAGACAATAGTTTCACAAGCAGCTCTACTTTCCTTCTATCAGTGAAAAATTTTTCACTATATAAATTAAAAAATATAAAAAGGGTTGATAAGAAAGATTAAGGCATATAGGGAATTTAATAATATGAAACCATGATTCTAATATTAACAAAAATATTCAATGAAAATTTTCAAAGATGCCTTATGAAAAATAAATATCCCAGTCCAAAACCAAAATTAAATTGGTATTTATCATGGACTCAATAATGTTAGTGTAGAAACCACAGTAATTGCCATTATAGCAATTTAATTACCTACTAAATTTAGTTTTTAAAAAATTTCTGTCTTGCTAATTGCAAATATGTAGATCATTCCTTTTTTTTTTAAAGATTTTATTTATTTATTTGATTGGGAGAGAGCACAAGTAGGCAGAGTGGCAGGCAGAGGGAGAGGGAGAAGCAGGCTCTCCGCTGAGCAGGGAGCCAGATGTGGGGGCTCATTCCCAGGACCCTGGGATCATGACCTGAGCCAAAGGCAGCCGCTTAACCGACCGAGCCACCCAGGTGCCCCATGAAGATCGTTCCTAAGTTTTAAAAGCTTGCTCATCATTAATGAATGAATAAATAAATAAATAAATTCTTGCTCATCATTTCAAAATATGGTGAAGGGTCTCCAATGGAAAGATATGAATTGTAAGAGTGAAAACTCACTGAACCATGACTCACTAGTGGTCAAGAGCTGTGTCTTTCTTATTTCTGAACTTAGCTATCACTATATCTGATGCACAGTAGATGTTCAATATAACCAAGTTGAAGAACGAATGAAATGAGAAAAGGCTGCCAAAATAAAAGTCTTCTAGTCAAGACAAGAAGAGACAATGTTAACCAACCTTCCCGCCCCGCCGCCCCAACCACCACCTCTTTAGGGATATTAATGAAAATCTCCTGATAGGTACTAAATGGATAACCTATTTTAAAAATATCTAAAGAACTTATAAGAGCCAATATATTTAATGTACTTTCAGAGTAATAAAAGTGCTTTTAAGGTATTACACACATAATTTTATTTTCAGAAAATCATTGAACAGTATTCAAAGTAAGAACGTTCCTTCTAAAAAAAATGTGTCTTGAAAGACTATTTCCATTAACTTGGTTCTTGAATTATCTAGCTGACATAATATCGACATATGAAAAAAAATCTGTTTTCCAAAGCTGAGCTGGCGTGGTGAGCTCACACTCACCCATAGGGCAATTAGTACACGCATTTAGGAATAAAAATAGTCATTCGTCTCATCGTGTCCACTGTCCCTGTGCTCTTTCTAGGGAAAGATCCTATCTCTACATGCAATTTGAAGAGAAGGGACTAACTGCACAGAGCCCTTCATTGCTTCACTAAAGGATCTCAAGGCACAGTGGTGCAGAGCAGTAGTGCAGAGTTGGATTCGGGAATTTAGGAATTCTGGGGTTGGGACCACAAAACTTCCATGAAGTGAGTGAACCTGGACAATATGGAAGATATTAGGAAAAGGATGGCAGGAGGCTAAATGAAAACAAATACAAAAATCCTTCAGGACTAAATCAGTCATCCCAGAATCCATTTGCCTTGGAAGATGCCAGGGAATACAACATTCAAATTCTGTCTCACCATCATTCTCCAACAGCTGATTTAAAGACATTTTTCTATTTACTGGGAGTTCCTAAATGATCTGGTAGGATTTGTTCCCTTTATACCTTCATCCTCCCTTTTTAGCTGACATCTGGATTTTGTTGCTGTGGTAAATGGACCCTACTTCTACTTCTCCCCCACTATATATACTTTCTTTTATTACATAATCATGATTTAAAAGGGCTGAGAGGAAGACACACCAGCCACACACCCAGACTATGGCTCTGTGATCTCACTTTCATTTCCCTAATGGCTTCCTTGTAATTAGATTTGCAAAAATACCAAAAGGTCTCATTTTGAATGGCAACAGCTGTTGACATCAACATTATATTGAATAATTTACTGGTTTAATTTTAGTGACAAAACAATAAAACTCTCCTGTGGATGATTATTTTAGCAGGCAAAGTTTTCTGTTTCTGTTGCTGACTTCTGCTCCAGGGGCACCAGTTGTTTCTTCATGAAATACTCTTAACCCAACTGTGCCAAAAACTTGCAAGGGGAGAAGTTCATTCCATCTAGTTTCCTTGAAGCAAAGTGTCTATGTGACTACTTCGGTATCCTCAGTCTATGTGCTTATGTATAAACCAACGAGTTGGCATAAGCTCTTCCAGGCTGCATTTGAATTTGAATGGCAGAATATTACTTTACCTTTTCAGGATCTGCCACTTCACAGAGTGACTTAAGCTGATTTCTTGACCTGCAGGAAATTGTAGCAGCATCTGCAAATTGGTGTCCTCTTGGCAGAAAATGATGTTGCTTGCTTAACTTCTTCAGTATCCCCTAGCAGCTAGCTCTTAATCTGGCAGAAAATCTCTTTATGGAATCTCATACTTTCCTGCCAGATAGATACAGACAACAAGTATCTGTATCTGTACGCGGGGTGTGCACATGTGTGTGGGCACTCATCAGGGAGAAGAGGATGTACGGACAGAAGTAGGAGAGAGTGTGTTAAATTGTTCTCAAGTCTGAAATTAGTCACGTTCTGGAGGAAAGAAAAAGAAAAGCCCTTACTAAAATAGATTTGCTCTCTTTTAAAAAATTAGGTGTTGGGATTTGTTAGATGAGTGACATTATTTCTTTCAGTTCAGTGCTTTTCTTCTTTCTGTAATATGTCTTTGTTTTTCAACTGTTATCAGTATCAAAGGTAATCTAATTATTATTCATTTTATAATGCATCCTTTTGAAACAATAGAAAACTATGCACCTACCCATCTTCAAGTTGTCCTATACTGGTCAAAGAAATTCTAAGTTATAGGTTAACCTGCCATAAAATTACTTTCACAAAATGCATTTCTGATTTTATTGATATACATATCACTAAATTCTCCCCCCCCACACCTTTTTTTCCCTGTCATTACTATTTTGCTTATATTTTGTTGAAGGAGTAATTCAAGGCAGTGTTTAGCCTTCAGCTGGTTGTAAGAACAAAGAAACATAAACAGAAAACTTCTGTTAAAGATTTATTAAGCACAAACCTCAAAAGTCTGATGACTATCTTGTCTTTTCTAAGATATCTTCAATATCAAGTAAAATTTGGAAGAATTTCTACACTCCATACAAAGTATACCTGCCACCAGCTTCATAGAGGTGTCAATAGAATACTTTTAGGTGAATTTTTAACAGAAATATCTGATAGGGTGTACATTCGATTGCATAAACCACTTTCTTAGAAAGTATTTCTCTTTAAGTCAACATGTTAATATAAAGATGAATAGAGTTTTATATGACAATAGTATATATTTAGTAGACTGTGTCAAGGGTAAAGATACTTGTGTGATGGAGTCCTTGGCCAGCAAGGATGCTTACCCTTGGGTGCAGTTTGGATGGCATGGGTGGCACTCCCGATCCTGATCAGCATACTTGAAAATGAAACTGTTTGCCCCCTGTAAGCCATCTGGACATTTTTCCACACAGTTCGGGCCATCCTTAAAATGGGAGCACTTTGTGCAGTTGTCAGGTCCCTGAAGTGTGAAAAACAAAACACAATGGAGAAAGAAAAATGGATGCTCTTTCCTCTGGTATTGATGTGGTTTAGTTCCTAAGACTTCTGTGAGTGGCCAATCTTCCCCTAGGGAACTGGAGAGCATTTTCAAAACTACAAACGGGGATGTCACTATTGCAGTTTTTCAATGTAAAAGTGAGATGTAAAATTTCCTTTGGTTGTCGATGATTATTTGAACAATGAATTTTACAATTTACTATGGTTGAATTATTAGGAATTAGTTTAGGAAAATAAAATTTAATTTCTAGATTACTCTCCATCTCAGATCAGCTTGTGATAATGTTAAAACTTACATGTCTATTTATATGGATTTTAGTAAATCACACAGTTCAATACTGAGAGCACAATAAAGACATTCTGATGAACAGATATCAAAAGTCCACAATAATAAAGTAGGTGCATGTCAAAGAAAATTATATGGAGAAACTTATCCAATAATAAAAGTGATATAAATTTGAGCATAATAAATTTAAATAGAACTAACTCACTTTGCATATTTATGTTTATAATATACAATCACTTTCTAATATGTAGAATGTTAATAAGCAATAATATACAAATATGTTTAAATGTCATTTAAAACATAAAATTTAAAACTCATCTTAAACATAAAAGAATTTTACAAAATAACTAATTTGGATTTGGTGCCGGAAATAGTAAGCATGCAAAAAAATGTTAAGCAGTCTACCACTAAATCAAAGAAAATTGAGAATATTTTGATTAAAAATGCTATTTTCTTAAAAGATGCAATATATTTATACATTTAGCTATTTTTTAAAAGATTTTTTACTTTATTTATTTGACAGAGAGAAAGAGAGAGAGAGGGAGCACAAGCCAGCAGAGCAGCAGGCAGAGGGAGAGGGAGAAGCAGACTCCCCACTGAGGAGGGAGCCTGACGTGGGCCTCGATCCCAGGACCCTGGGATCATGACCTGAGCCGAAGGCAGACGCTTAACCAACTAAGCCACCTAGGTTACCCTACATTTAGTTATTTTAAATAATGATATCACCTACTTAAAGTTGACTTTTGGTTCTCCCTTTTAAACATCATATTGTCTTAGGTTCCTCTTTTCTTTGACTACTTTCTGGAACTTCTTCCCCTGACCCATTTCTCCCCAAAAGCTGTATGTCAATATTGTCCAACAACTATGACAGTTCACATTAAATACAATTTAGATAAATGGAGTATAGTAAGTACAGAGGGAGGTAATTAATTTTATTAGGTTTATAATTATAAATTGTGAATTTGGGATTCAACAACAAGCAAACATTGGACAGAGTTATGTATTGGGCAGGGAGCGTCCATTCACAAGAGTCTCTCTATAAATGTTAATCCAAAAGCAGTCAGACATTGCAAGTTGGTGATACAAGATATCAGGAAATCGATAAATATATTTCAAAATTTAAAGATTGAGGTTGCTAATGAAGAACAGTGGCGTAAGAAGAAAAAGTAATCAGGAGGGAGTTTCAGGAAATTCTGGGACTGGTGAGGTTTAATCAAGCACCTGTCTATTTCACTATTTTCATGTGAGACTTAGAGCTAAAAGAAATTATCCTATGAAAACTAATCCCCATTCAACCTGAAGAGTTTGCTATTGGCAACTTCTTATATCCTATCAAAAAAAGAATACTTTACATGCTTCCAATTTTAACACCTGCTCATGGGTACTTAGGCATGTAATGCCATCTATTATACAAAATCATTTACTGTGCAAGTATGCTCAGTGGCATGACTTATTGTACAAGACAAGAGACATGCTGATGTCTTCTTGCAGAACACAAGAATAAAAACTATGAGTAAATTAGGCAGTTTTAGTTAAAATTAGAAATTAGGAATTATTTTTCTATAAAATTCTTCTGATGTAAAATAATATCTAGGGAAAATCAGAAGACACAAAATATTATGAAACTAAAATTAAAATCATATTTAATGTTTAAGTATACTTCAAAAATTTTTTTGTATGTTTCCTTGTTTTTAAGCATCTCTTACTTATTTGATTGTATTATCATGATACAAAACTAATGTTCTAAGCTGATATAATTAAAAAAAAATGTCCTGACAAATCTCAAAAGAAATGAAATGTACTGATTCTCCAACTCATTTCCACAATAAAGAGATTTAAAGAAATATGTGTGTCCAATGCTTACTCTTCTATCATTATATTCCCAAAGCTTTTAAGAACCTAAGTTCAGTGAATGAACTGATAAATGCAATGATAAAAAACAGAGGTGAAAGCAATATTGTTCCTTATCTCTGATTTTATGCTACCCTTGGACTCAATTATGAACCCAGAAAGCTAAAGGATAAGCTAAATCTTGATAGAAATATTACATTTTTTTCCTCAGTGACAACTGATGATTTTCTGGTAACTACTGTGAGAGACAGTGCTACTATTCACCACTATCCAGTTCTCTTCCACTTCTAGCCACATGGAAGACTGAAATTCTCCTCCCACCAGAAGTGAGGAATGTCTTGTTTTAGACAATGAGATTAAGTAGAAGCAATTTATGAGACTGCCAGGGCTAAACTCTCCAGACTTCTCTTTCCCTGATGCCATGATGCAGGGATCCTCTGCAGATGTGGGGATGCCATAAGTGCAAAGCATCTCAGAACACTAGACCATCACAGGGAGGAGGGCTGATTTGCAGTGCACTTTACATGAAAAAGATTTAAACATGTTCGTATAAGCTACTGTAATATGGGGGTTATTTGTTATGGCAGCATAACCTTTATTAACTTGACTTTAACAACTATTTCAGCTTTTATCATTCTCTTCCTCAATTTCTTCTTTGCATGCTGCCTCTTTGACTTGTATTTTATCTTCTAAAACTCTGTCTGATTTCCCTTACTTCTCTTTCTTCTCACATGCCCTTCCTTATATTTCTTCATAGGAACACACAGGAGGAGAGAAAGTAAGGCAGAAAGGATAAAGTTGTAAAATAAAAACAAAATAAGGTAAAAAAAATAAAATAATACCACATACAGACATATAAGGATATAAAATCAGGGCCTTATTTTATTTCAAAGCTAGTCCTCTCAAGATTATCCTGGATTTATGTCACATTTAAATAGTATAATACCATCCCATTTTACATGCAGCTGTTATATTCCTAGAAAACATGTTATTCTTATTATTTACAGAATTGTTGTCTATGGGGGTAGGGGAGGGGGGAAGTGAAATGAATAGAGTGTAAAATTTGGAGTCACTTCTATAGTTGAGTTCCAGCTCCACATTGCATAGATTGTTGACTTTTTGGTGTAACTTTCCAATTATTATAGGTTTAGTTTCTTTATATTTTAAATGGAAAAAGTGATAGTATGCTTCAGATGTAACAGTGTTTGACAAATATACATGTGTATCTGTTATTATTAAGGAAATAAGGACAGCTCAGGAAAGTGGGATTCCAACAGAATAAATCATAAGACCAGGTGTGGGAATTCCAACCAGCTTTTAAAAAAATTTTTTTAAAGATTTTATTTATTTATTTGAGAGAGAGCAAGATTGAGAGCACAAGCGGGGTGAAGGGCAGAGGGAGAAGCAGACTCTCTGCTGATCAGAGAGCCTGATGCAGGGCTTGATCCTGGGACTCCGGGAACATGACCCGAGCCGAAGGCAGATGCTTAACCAACTGAGCCACCCAGGCGCCCCTCCAACCAGCTTTATGACTTTTCCTCTGTCTCATCGCAATGTCAGCCTCACAGAGAAGTTTCCAGAACTTCTTGGGTATCTCAAATGATAGATGCCTGTTATATGGCACACAAAAGCACTTCTATCTCTAGTTGTGATAATCAATGAACCCAGACACAGACAAAAACCTAATATAAATTGTAAAAGCTGAAAGCAAGCAACCTCCTCGTGAAAGCAGTTTGGGCTACTGTTTGATCTCAGTCCTGCCGGTTTCTCAGACACCATAACCTAAAATTATATTTGTTCCTGCTGGTATTTCAAGGTTTACTGATCAAGTGATCAAATAGATTTTCTTGATTCCGTGTTCTGATCTTCCACAAATGAGTGATTCGAGTTTACTGAAATTTTCTTACTTTTGACTTAATGCCTTTCCTAATCTTTAGACATATTAACTGACAATGTTAACCCTGGGTGGTAATTCTAAGTAGATTGTTGGTCCAACAATGCTGTCATTAAGAGATCAAAATGTATTCATTAAAGACCTGTTTTTTCACTCTTTCTTAGTTAGCAAATAATTTTAAAAATTGAAAAAAAATCAACAATTAGTGTTTTTAATGTGTAATTTATAAACTGTCTCTATCTTTTGAGTAACAAAAGAATGAACAAATACACTGTGAAAATATACAAAGTAAAATGAATTAATAAATTAGTTATTTGCCAGCATCATTTATACCATAGGACGCAGCATGAGGAATAGAAAAAGCACAGGACTGGTTTTGCAGTCTGCCTTGTTATTGTAATTGCACATTTTCAAAGTCTCAGTCTCTCTGAAAGATATATTGTTTTCTATTCTTTGACTTTTGGTACTTAAATATGTTAGTGTTTAAAGATGTCTTCTATAGATAGCCTGACTTGTTTTAACACAAACCATTTCAGAATTTTACTTCCCTGTGTTTCATGTCATTCCTTCCAGCATCCACATTTCTCATGCTGCATATTAATTGTATTTTCCCTTAATTCCTTAGTGCGGACAGAAAATAGACAAATATGCCCTTTGCATACTTACTTGAAGATCATTTACATATTAAATTGTCTTTTAGACTTTGGTTCTTCAGGCCAAATCACACCACTCCTTTTTCTCAGAGGTCTGATTTTCCAAGCTTAATCATACTTGTGGTAGTCCTCTGAACTGTCCAGGTTTTCCACATCCTTCTTTAGATGAAGTTCCAGAACAGCTCATTGGGGCCTAATGGAAGTTTGGAGGCTCAATGATATTCTTTTTTCTAAGCTAATTACGTGCTGAATAAGCACTCTGGTAGAAAATCAGTACTATCTAAATCACATATAAACTCATAGAGCAATGTTGAGCTCTTGGCTACACCCAAATGTTGGTCTCCAAATAATCCACTGAGAAATGACTCAATACACACAAAAAAACTGGAAGTTTGTCTAAAGAAGGATGAATATGACACTTTGGAATGACAAAGTCATTATTAAGCTCATTATTAGGAAAAAGCCTGAATGATGGGAACCAAAGGGAGGACTAAAAAATAATTACCATTTTCTCAAAAGGCTAACTTCAAACATGTAAATGCCAATTTATCCATCAAGACTTTCCTGATCCCATAGCCCCTCTTCCATTCTCATAGCTCTGTTTTTCTCTCTGCCATAGTATTTATCACACTGTTTTAGATTTTAGTTTATAAGTGTTTGCCTCTCCCTTCTGTCTTTCACAATGTCCTTCACAATGCCATAATAGTTAAATAATTAAACACAGATATGAATGTATTATAGTTTACCTCAAACACACCATGAATTTTTACATTTGCATATCTTTGCATGTTTCTTCTTTCTAGATTCTTCTTCAAAGCATAGCTCAAACATCACTTCTCTACGGACCTCCTTAATGCCCTACTTTCCATCCCAAAGACAGATTAATTTATCTCTCATTTGTGTTCCTATAACAATTGATATATATTTATATTTTATCAATTATTTTGTTCAATCTAATTACTTATATATTCCCTTTTCTTTTCAACACTGCAATTTTCAAGGGCATAACCATATCCACTTTCTAAATATATTATCTGGGATATAAATATTTAAAAAATTGAATTTGTAAATATTTCATCTCTACTACTAAACTGTAAGCCTCTTGAGGGAGGAATATCAAACATGATTCCCCCTAGCATGCTACAAACACCTGTTGAATGGATGGATAAATGATAAAGGAATGACATAACAAACATTCACACATGAGCCAAATAAGCCAACACAACCATAGATGTCTGCAAGCTTACCGGTCCATGGCAGGTTAGGATGCCATCTTCCATCTTCTCACACTGGGGGTCACACTCCACACAGATGGAGCCATTCTCAAATTCTCGAAATTCACTGTGAAAACATCAGCTGCATGAGGTGGTATAAGCAAACAAGCTGTCAACCTAACAAATGAAGCAACATCTGCTGAAAGTCCTATTGGCAGAGTAAATTCTAGAGTCTGTTTCTTTATGTGCCAGGAGCATCAGAATCATTTCCCTGTACATTACGGAATAAGTTCTCCATTAGGAGAAAAGATAAACTGCAGCCAGATGGCTCTCCTTGCCCTCCATTGGGTTCAACGATAGACTCATTCAGGAAACCTCTCTCTTGTGAGAGATATTCGCGCAGTCTCAAAAAAAAAAAAAAAAGTACGACTCTTCTGATGACACAACAGAATCATTTTTACCTTTTTTTAAGTAAAGCTGTGCCTGTTTGTCTCTATATAAAATTTTACTCTTGGCTGAGCTTTATTTTTTAAACTCTGAAAGAACTATTGTATTTTTCATGTTGCTAAGTGACATGATATTCCTCAACCCTGTCCTTCAAATCCCAAGACTCTTCAATTTATTTTTGGTGGAACTTCAAAAAAAATGCTTTGATTTCTTTTCTTCTTTTAAAATAGCTGCCTTGGAGAATTAGAGAAAATATCTTTTTATGGCAGATTTTATATTCCTAGATTATTGATCTAATATCACATCTTTTTCAGCTTAAGGTCTTTTTGAAGTAATTCTATATGGTATAAAATAAAAAATAGTTAAATGTCAACACTAAAATTTTCTAATTAAAATCTAGGATGATGGTTATCCCTTCCCACAACCTTACATTTGATTTGAATGTTAAATGTCATCAATAGTAAGTTTTCTAATCAATATCTACTGCAAAATTTTCATTTCAATAATTGGGTATCATTCATGTACAATATGTTTAAATACCCCATTCCCACTAATGTATCAGAGGATGAGGCACTGGGTAAAAACAATTTAGAACGCCAGTTGTAAGTCATTAACAAAACTTAACTAAATATTTATAGCTTCTGTATTATTTTGTGTCTGTATATTATGAGCTCTTTCAAACTAAAAGCATTGCAAATATGGCAATTATGGATTAATTAGGTGATAAATTTAAATTTATTATTCCCTAGAATGAAGTGTTCACTTATTTCATAGTGAACTATCCCATTTGGTTATTATAAAGCCTTAATAAATGATAGAAATCCAAAAGGTGGGCTATTTTTCTGTTGGTTAAATTAAAACTACACATACTTTAAGGCAAGATAATTAAGCTTGGGTTTTCAAATTAAATAGCATAAATTGGTGGTTTAGTTAGGTATCAATGCACATATTTAGTTACAAGGATTTTGCATTTTTAAAATGAGGTGCTGGCTTGCTATGAATTAAGCTTCTTACAAATTTTCTTGAATTTAAAAACTCAATTACATAGAAACAGATTTTCTTTTGTATGTTTTATTAACATGAATTATATACAGTGCTTGACAGAGGAAATCTTCAGAATAAAAAAGTCAAAATGACTGGTACGGGGGAAAGGAGGATGGTAGGTTAATTGTGAAGAGAATCAAAAGCATCATCTGTATAATGAAATTATAAAACAGTTAACAGCAAAACCTGCAACCATCAGCAAATTCCTTTTTTTTTTTGAGTACAGTTTCTTGGGTTGCTAAAGGTTATGTTACTGAATGAAGGTCATAATTTTTGTGGTACTAAACCATTGGTCATGCTTTTCTTTCTCTTCTTGAAAATCCCTTTCCCACACACAGAGTTGAAGAATAAAGTGAATATGTCATAAAAAGTCATGGAGATTCAATGTAGCTGCCTTTTCCTCTATAGACTAGACTTCTATTTGTATGGCTTTGGGCTCTCTTTCTGCTCTCAGAACTGATCCTTCTTTTAATTTTTATTACTTCTGCTCTTCATTGTCACTGTCTCCATCAATGCTTTTTCTTCCCCATTTCCTATTGATTATACTATGACTTTGCCACAGTTCCCCTTTCATTTGAATCTGACCTAACAAATCACTGTCTATTGAGCTTGAGTTTTGCATACTGAGCTTTTTGTCACTTTTTTACTACTCTATATTTCTCACAGTCTTGCTGTGTGTGTTACCTTAGCCAATCCTGTGATCCAGAGCAAATGCTTTAGAGTCAAGTCCTTCCCAAATTTGGCCGGTTGTTCCCAACACCAACACTAATACTTCTAGACCTTAAATGCCTTAACATCTCTAGACTTCATTTTGTAAATATCCTTTGTAAAAAGGAAAAATTGTATTTCAATGAGAGGTTGTGATTATTAAATATAAAGGCCTACAAAGACCTCAGACTGGCACTCTTTCTGATGTTCCCATTTGTTCTTAATGTTTCAAAAGCATTTGACCATGTTGTCAAATAAGACAGTTTTAAGATTGTGTTGCAATGAGTTTTCTCTTTCATTCTCAATGCTTGTGCACTGTAGTTAAGAGTTGCTGAAATACAGTGGCTTCTATGACCTGGATTTGAATGCTAACATCCAGGAAATAACTGATTTTCTTTTCCCCTTCAAAAAGTTCTCTTTTGAGGATTTCTTCTCAGATAAAAGTTATATAAATATAGGTGCCCTGATTTTGGTAAAGGTCTTATTTGTATTTGTTTTCAACATTTTTAAGGTGACTGTTCTACTTAACCATCTAATCAGCTTAGATTTATGGACACAAAAAGAAAATAATAATCATCTTAGTAGTAAAAATTCTAACAAGACTTTATTATGCATTTTCTCATTTAATAACCATAATTATCCTATGAAATTGACACCATTATTATCCCTGTTTTCCATATAAGAAACCTAAGTTTAGAACAATTAGGTTATTTATCCAAGATTGAAAATGAGGAAGTGATGAAGTTAGGATTTGAATTCATTATTCCTCAAAGGCTGTTTTAACTGCCGGGCAATGTTGGAAGAAATTAGTCAGTACCACAAGATTGGAGGTGGGAAAATCTATCACTGCGTAGGCTAGAATTACATCAGACTTTTACAAGGTACTTTCATTTATTATCTTTCAAACTAACACTTATATATGGTTTCCCAGAGCCCTATTGTTCTTGTAAAACACATTAAAAACTTTGTATTTCTTGAATACGTTTGATTTAATGACTTGGAAAACATTAAACTTTCAAAAACAGTCTGGTAATCAGTGTTGTTTATTTAGGAAACATGTATTTTTCCTTTGCTTCACTTTCATTATTTTGCAGATGTGAGAGAGGATGGTATATGCATCCACATATTTGTCTATTTCACGTTTCTGACAAGGTTAAAAATATTAAGGAAAAATAATGGCATCTGGAAAAGTAACAGGATGGAAATCAGATGCCCTGAATTCTAGTGTTGGCTTGATTCTTCTACAGTGGAATGACACTGGCCAACACTTAATTCTACTAGTTTTCACTCTTTATAAGATACTGCTCTTAGAGAAGATGGTTTCTAGAGCCCAGTCCTTCTTTAAAACTCCACTGAGAATATATATATATATATATATATATATATATATATATATAGCCAATAAACTTATAACATTCACTAAATGGAATTAAAGTCTATTAGTTACATGTTAATGGCATGAATGGCTTTACAAAAAATAACCATATTTTGATCTGAAGTATTTTATATACAGAACATATCATTCATTTATAAAAATGAGAATAAGCATGACTACAATTTAATGAGAAAAGCAACACATTATTTGCTATCCATTATCAAATTTATGAGCTGATTGTACCTTACAAAATTATAAGCTGGAATTTTCCTGAAAAACAATTAAATTCTTATTTTAAACTGTTTCACACTTAAACTTCTAATTTTATTTTTTTTCTAAATTTCATGAAGGGAATTGGTATTGGTCATCTTCCAAAAAAGAGACATGTTAATATTATTATGATCCATAGATTTCTAACTTTCTGATATAAAATGCAAAAGGACAATGTTATCTCAGATCACGAAAACAGTTGTTTAAAATGGCACAATTCTATAATCATATTGATGAAACTGGAATTCATGGTTTGATTTCAAAACAAGTATATTCACTATATACTAGTCACTTAGAGGTTATTTAAATAACAAAATATTGTATCATAAAAGACATGTAGAATTTTAAAACAATAAAGATTTGAACCTATAAAAAATAAAATGGGACAATTCATGAGGTAAAAGAAGAAACGCAATAAAGATCTTCAAAACTACACTTTTACAGAACTGTTGAAAATCCTTTCAGTGAGCACTATAAGAAAATTTGACTCAGGAACAGTACTAAAAAATGTATTATCACATTAATAAAGGACGACTGTGATGCATGAAATGGTATGTTATGATAAACTGATTTTATGAGTATATGAAATGCCATGCAACAAGATATATACCAGGTTTTATTGTTAGCAATGTGATTATTATAGTACCAATAGGAATTTAAAATTCTTGATTTAAAATACTGCTTAGGTTATCTTTAGAAAGTGGCAGAACACTATCAAAAACCCCTTCAGCTAGAAACTACAAAGGCAATTTTCCTATAGGGCTATGCAGTTGTCAGAGACATAGAAATGTGTATCGTTTGTTTCTAATACACAATCTAAGAAGACACATAACTTGGATGGAAAAAAATTCAAAAGTTATGCAGTAATTCTTTTTTTTTTGTTGTTGTTAAGATTTTATTTATTTGACAGAGACAGACATAGTGAGAGAGGGAACACAAGCAGGGGGAGTGGGAGAGGGAGAAGCAGGCTTCCCGCTGAGCAGGGAGCCCGATGCGGGGCTTGATCCCAGAACCCTGGGATCATGACCTGAGCCGAAGGCAGCCATGTAATGACTGAGCCACCCAGGTGCCCCAGTTATGCAGTAATTCTAGATGAAAATTAATAGGAAAGTATGTGAAAAAATAGTATTGGGACATTTGAGAGGAAAGATTACTTGTAACAATCTCCTTCATAAGGAAAATAAGAATATATTTTTCAATTTTGCTTCAGTATAAACGGCTACATTTTATTAAGAATGATCTACTTCAGTGTACTTTTTTAAGTTTGTGTAATAGTCAACATATATTTGGACTTCTCTTATTTCAAATAAAATTCTTTCTCCTTAAAACAATTCTTCTATGGGTTGTTGTCTCCTTTATGCAACAAGAGCTTCCCTTAAAAACCCTGGCCGGCATACACATTCTGCAATTTTACCATTTTCTTAAAATTTAAATATCTGAAGCAATCAGTGCCTCAAAGCTTATGAGGTAAAGGCGATGTTGTAAGATGCCTTACCCATCATAGAGGTTACAAGACTCGATGCAGCTCCTTCCTCTGCTGAAGCGACGGCAGGACAAGCACTGGTCGGGACCAGGTCCCCAACAGCCATTGCTTGAACACAGATGGTTGCACACCATTCCTTCAGCAGCTGGCAGAGAAAAAACAAATTCAAGAGTGAAATAAAAAAGAAGGATGTGTTAAAACTTAACCATCAAAAAACATTTTACCATTTTAATGTGAATCTTCCCAAGTGATGCTATTTCTGAAGAAGTTGGTTTGAAGGGGATTTGTGGCAGATAACTTTGTCTGCCTACACAGTCACGGTGGCCCACACTACTGTCAACTTCTTCCCTATTGCAAAGCCTCATCACTGTGTGTCTAGAACCACTACATTTTTCATAAGAATGAACAAATGTCAATTGTCTACATCAAAATTCTAGGGAGGAAGGGTGATAAAAATTAACTTTACCACTAAAGCAGGGAGCAAACCATGCCTTTCTCAATCCAACTCTTTGCTCCACTGAGACACCAAAAATTTTAACTTCAAATTCATATGAGAGCGTCATGAAGAAATAGAACAAATAATACTTGTCTTAAAACAAAACAAAATTTAGAAAGAGAAAAAAAAAGAATACCTGGAAGGCAAGGTGGGGGGGGGGAAGAAATGGAAATAAAATACAAGTTTTTTACAGGCCTCTGCCTTGATAGTCAAATGGGCACATATAAATTTGCAAATATATTAAACAAATTGTAGTGGTCACTGATGAGCAGATATAGAGATGAAAATAATAACAATGATCTTTAGCCTTGTCTCTATGTAATCTGTTGATGAGAGGGTTGCCAAAGAATTTTGGGACTGTTTTAAAATTGCCACTTAAGTTCACCATCTCTGTTTCCCTTTATATTGAGTAACAGTTATTCAGAATATTATTATTTATATGGAAGAACATGATTTTAGTAAAAGGATACTAGATGTTGAATAAGAAGGGCCTATGAAGACTTCAAATGTTATTCTGAGTATCTGAAAAGTGATTTGAGTCATCTGAAACACAGCCGTATATGGTTTTCATAAAATATTAAGAATTTCTAAGAAGATAAAAAAAACATCAAAAACACCTTCATCTTCCCATTAGTTACCAAGTTTAATTATTATGGGATGTAAGTTGTCATGACAGCATTTGTGAGATGGGTTGGGACAGCACTGAATATATGAGTGCAATATAAGCAGGGGACATATCTGTGAAATTTACCTTCTCTAACATAGACTTGAGAAAGGAATTGCCAGCATTCATGATGCTGACTAGTTTTAAAATAGTGAAACAAAATCATCCAATTCATGTATTCTTCCTCTTATATCCTGCAGCTTTAAGGAGGCCCCTATGCTAAACTGTGGAAAAATTTTCCTCAAGGCAGAGTTAGACCTACTAACCAGTCTTTTTACTTGGTAACTGCTTAATTGAATAATCTCTTCCAACATAGTTTGAGAAACTGTGTGTGTGTGTGTGTGTGTGTGTGTGTGTGTGTGTGTGTGCTTAGCAGTTTTATTGAGGTATACATGATATATAATATATTGCTCATACATAAAGTATACAATTAGATGTTTTGACATATGCATGCAATCACGAGCCATATACACAATTAGAGTAATGGATGTATCCATTAATTCCAAAAGTTCTTATGACCTTATGTAATCCCTTCCTCCTGCTCCATCCTTCTCAGACAACCATTGATATGCTGCTTCTCAATATACATTAGTTTGCACTTATTAAATTTTATATAAATAGAAACATACAGTATGTACTCTCTTTATATAAAACATACAGTATGTACACTCTCTTTATACAGTTTCTTTCACTCCGAACAATTATTTTGAGATTTATCTGTGTTGCTGTGTGTGTCAATATTCATTCTTTTTTTTTTTGGACTTTACTTATTTATTTGACAGAGAGAGAGACAGACAGCCAGAGAGGGAACACAAGCAAGGGGAGTGAGAGGGAGAAGCACGCTTCCCGTGGAGCAGGGATCCCAATGCAGGGCTTGATCCCAGGACCCTGGAATCATGACCTGAGCCAAAGGCAGATTCTTAATGGCTGAGTCACCCAGGCGCCCCAATATTCATTCATTTGTATTACTAAATATATTCCATTGATGGATATACAACATTTTTTAAACCACTCACCTATTGCTACACATTTAGACTGTTTTCTATTTTGTGCTATTAAAATTAAGCTACTGTAGGGGCACCTGGGTGTCTCAGTTAAGTGTCGGACTCTTGATTTCAGCTCAGGTCATGATCCCAGGGTCGTAAGATGGAGCCCCGCATCAGGCTTTGTGCTGAGTTTGGAGCCTGTTTAAGATTCTCTCACTCCCTATGCCCCTCCCCACCCTGCTCCCACACACTGTAGATAAAAAAGAAAGAAAGAAAGAAAGAAAGAAAGAAAGAAAGAAAGAAAGAAAGAAAGAAAGAAAGAAAGAAAAAGAGAGAGAGAGAGAGAGAGAGGGAGAGAAAGAAAGAAGAAAGAAAGAAAGAAAGAAAGAAAGAAAGAAAGAAAGAAAGAAAGAAAGAAAGAAAGAAAGAAAAAGAGAGAGAGAGAGAGAGAGAGAAAGAAAGAAAGAAAGAAAGAAAAGAAAGAAAGAAAGAAAGAAAGAAAGAAAGAAAGAAAGAAAGAAAGAAAAAGAAAGAAAGAAAAAATTAATCTACTATAAACATCCATGCACAAGTCTTTGTAAGGAAATGTTTTCATTTCCTTTCAGTAAACACCTAGATATAGTAGGTATAGGATTAACTTTTCAAGAAATGGTCAAATTGTTTCTCAAAGTAGTTGTACCAGTTTACATTCCTAATAGCAATGAACTCAAGTCAAGAATTAAAGTTCCCCCACATTTTTGCCAATACTTGATATGGTCAGTCAGTTTAATTTTATCCTTCCTAATAGGTATGTAGTGATATCTCATTGTAGTTTTGATTTACATTGCCAAAATGGTACTGTATCATTCTGTATTAGTCAAGGCTCTCCAGGGAAACAAAATAAACAGGATACATATGATTTCTTATAAGGAACTGGATCACATAGCTGTAAAGGCTGAAAAGTCCCACCATTTGCCCTCTGCAAGCACAAGACCCAGGAAAGCATATTTCAGTCTCAGTCTACACAAACAGTATAGAAAGATCTATTGATTTTTTTGCATATAGATATCCAATATTTCCAGCACCATTTGTTAAAAACACTATCTTTGTCTTGCCTTTGGAGGCATGCCTAGCAAGAAGTTGTTGCAGCCAAGACAAAGAGGTTGCTGCCTGTGTTCTCCTCCAGGATTTTGATGTATTCCTATCTCACATTTAGGTCTTTCATCCATTTTGAGTTTATTTTTCTGTATGGTGTAGGAAAGTGGTCCAACTTCATTCTTCTGCATGTGGCTGTCCAATTTTCCCAACACCATTTGATGAAGAGACTGTCTTTTTTCCATTGGATATTCTTTCCTCCTTTGTTGAAGTTTACTTGACCATAGAGTTGAGGGTCCCTTTCTGGGTTCTTTATTCTGTTCTATTGATCTATGTGTCTGTTTTTGTGTCAGTACCATACTGACTTGATGATGATTATAGCTTTGCAATACAGCTTGAAATCTGATATTGCAATGCCTCCAGCTTTGGTTTTCTTTTTCAACATTCCTTTGGCTATTATGGGTCTTTTCTGGTTCCATTCAAACTTTAGGATTGTTTGTTCCAGCTCTGTGAAAATTTTTTGATAGGGATTGCATTGAATGTGTAGATTGCTTTGAGTAGCACAGACATTTTAACAATATTTCTTCTTCTAATCCATGAACATGGAACATTTTTCTATTTGTGTCTTCCTCAGTTTTTTTCATGAGTGTTCTATAGTTTTCTGAGTACAGATCCTTTACCTCTTTGGTTAGGTTTATTCCTACATATCTTATGATTGGGGTGCAATTGTAAATAGGATTGATTCCTTGACTTCTCTTTTTTTCTGCCTCATTGTTAGTGTATAGAAATGCAACTGACTCTGTGCATTGATTTTATATCCTGTGACTTTGCTGAATTCCTGTATCAGTTCTAGCAATTTTTTGCTGGAGTCTTTTGGGTTTTCTACATAGAGTATCACGTTGTCTGAGAAGAGTGAAAGTTTGTCTTCTTTGCTGATTTGGATGCCTTTCTTTTTGTCGTCTGATTGCTGAGGCTAGGACTTCCAGTACTATGCTGAACAACAGTGGTGAGAATTAACATCCCCGTCATGTTCTTGACCTTAGGGGAAAAGCTCTCAGTTTTTCCCCAATGAGGATGTTCTTTTTCTAGCTCCTTTAGGTGTAAGGTTAGGTTGTGATTTGAGACTTATTCTTGAGGAAGGCCTGTATTGCTATATATTTCCCTCTTAGGATCAACTTTGCTACATCCCAAAGGTTCTGAACTGTCAATGTTTTCATTTTCATTTGCTTCCATGTATTTTTTCTAATTCTAGTTCTCTTACTATTTCTACCACATCTGCAGTTCCTTCCTCCACTGAAGTCTTGAACCCTTTAAAATCATCCATTTGAGTTGGAATCAACTTCTTCCAAACTCCTTTAATGTTGATATTTTGACCTTTCCCAGGAATCACAAATGTTCTTAGCGGTATCTAGGATGGTGAACACTTTCCAGAAGGTTTTCAATATATTTTGCCTAGATCCATCAGAGGAATCACTGTCTATGGCAACTACAGCCTTATGAAATGTATTTCTTCAATAACAAGACTTAAGAATCAAAATGAGCTTTTTCATCTATGGGCTGCAGAATGGATGTTGTATTGGAAAGCATAAAAACAACAACAATCTCATATACCTCCATCAGAACTCTTGGGTGACCAGGTGAATTATCAATGAGCAGTAATATTTTCAAAGGGATCTTTATTTCTGAGTAGTAGGTCTCAACAGTGGGCTTAAAATAGTCAGTAAACCATGTTGTAAACAAATGTGCTGTCATCCAGGCTTTGTTGTTCCATTTAGAGGGCACAGAGTAGATTTACCATAATTCTCATGGGTCTTTCAGTTTTCAGAATGATCAATGACACTAGCTTCAACTTAAGTCACCAGCTGTGTTAGCCCCTAACAAAAGTCAGGCTATCCTTTGAAATTTTGAAGTTAGGCATTGATTTC